TAAATTTCAATGTGGTTTTTAATGTCTTCCGTTGAAACCCTCATGGTGGGAACCACCTCCCCCAGCGAGAGAAACAACACCTCAGCCTCGTCTGTCTGGCTGTCTCACAAAGCCGTCCCCTGTACATGTGCTAGTTGTTTTCATTTCACACAGCACTGCTTATATATTTACATGAAAATTATTAGCTACTCTGCTCCCCCGCTTGGAGCTTCAGTGAAAGACAACCCTGTGGGAATTATCCGTCTGAGGAAGCAGCCGTGTGCCAGGATCTGGCAGTTACTCCGAATAAGTGACGCAGGATCTCGATGGACAGATAAAACCAGATAAACTCCAGATGAGAGTGGTTTTTATTCTTATTGTCTTGTTTACGTGTTTATGCGTATCTCCATAGCGAGACGTCGCCACACCTTGTTGTGGAGATGATTTATCAGATGATAAATACAGGAAGTTTGGTCAGGAATGTAGGTCTGTGCGGGATGTTTTGTGATGGACACGTGGGCTTGATTTGGGCTTAAAGGAACAGTTTCAAAAAAAAAAAAAAAAAAATGGAGTGTCTTAGTAATTTAACAGATTGGCAGATCAACTTCAAGTTGATGAACTCAACACTTAACAAATTAGTTAAGAAGGTGCATCGTTTCAGTTTTTTATTGAAATATACAAAATGAAAGTTTTAGGAACATTTGTCTTCTTTCAAAATGAAAGTTATAAAAGATATTAAATGAAGCAGAGCAATCGTAACAATAATAATAATAATGGGATGGTTGATGTGTGCATCTGTCATTGTTTTAGTTTTTCCAAACTGGAGGATCTGCCATGTGAACAGTGGAACCACGCCACGGTCAGAAACGCTCTGAAAGAGCTGCTGAAGGAAATGAACCAAAGCACTCTGGCCAAAGAGTGTCCTCTATCACAGGTTAGACACACACACACACACTCACATACATAGAAACACACAAACAAAACAGAAAGCATTGGTCTATTACTATAGAACAGTGGTGTCAAACATACGGCCTGTGGGCCAAAACCGGCCCGCTTGGGTGTTCAATCGGGCCCGCTTGGTCAATTTTTTAAATTAAAAGATACGGCCTGTGGGCCAAAACCGGCCCGTTTGGGTGTTCAATCGGACCCGCTTGATTATTTTTTAAAATTAAAATAAAATACACAAACACTTCATGATAGTAATGTTTTGTCAAGTATTTAATTAAATAGGATTTTTAAAAATCTATTATACTGGTACTTTTTTACATAGATACAAAGGAGGAAAAATGTAATTATTGTTGTTTATAGTTAATCATGTATACTACTGTACATATATGTACTGGTCCGGCTCACTTGACATCTAATTTGGTTGTATGCGGCCCGTGAAACAAAATGAGTTGATGTAGACAATCAGAGTTTAGGAATAAATGAGTAAATGTGAGCTGAGAAATACTTAAATACAAGTGGACCCTGCATAGAAAGTATACAGTATGTACTTAGTCTTTAAAAAGCTGATATGTATTTTACATGCAGTGGTATTTGAAGAGATATCAAAAAAATAGATATACTATATCCAAATTTATTTCTAGAAATTAGACAAATATCAGCAATAAATATTCAATATCAGTCGATAAACATTTGTGTTGTTTTTATCATATTTTAATAAAACTCCACTCAGCCCAAACCCTGTCAACATGCTGGCACATTTTGGGCTGCGTGTTTGGCCCTTTCATCCCTGTCTTATAATCACTTGTGTTTGTCAGATTTATATGTGTGTGTGCGCGTGTGCGTGTGTGTTCCTGCGAGTGTGTTAATCGCAGCAGCATCAATTGCTTACATATGTGTGTGTGGCTGAAGATTCCCGTTCTGCTGCACCATCCTGGCTCGGGTTTCCATGGGTGGCTTCCAATCATGATTAATGTTAGTCTATTTCTATTGTGTGTGTGTGTGTGTTGGGTGTGTATGTGTGTGTGATTATACCATGTGGCTGTTGCGTGAGTCAGAGAATTACATATTCAGTTGCTTCTTCATTATCTCTCTCTCTTCTCTCTCTCTCTCTCTCTCTCCCTCAGAGTATGATCTCCTCCATTGTCAACAGTTCCTATTACGCCAACGTCTCCACAGCCAAGTGTCAGGAGTTTGGACGATGGTACAAGAAATATAAAAAACTCAAAGGTGAGCTGTGAGCTGAACTTCTTCTCTGTAATCTTCAATAGCCTGTAATCTTCACAAGAGCGATTATATTAAAAAAAAAAAAAGAAAAAAAAAGACAGTTTTTCCTCTGAAACACTCAGTAAAATAAATACATCTGAAATAATTGACCATAGACTGTCTATCCCTCTGTTTCCTGTGTCGCCGAGCAGTAGATTATCTGGAGAAGATGTGGGCTGGACGAGAACCTACTGAAATTAAAAGTAAGACATCCACGCTTATTTCGCGAGACAATGTTGAAAAGATTAGGTCTGCCACAAATATTACTGCTTAACGTGTTTTGAGTACAAATTTGAAATTCTTGCTTTGGAGATTTTAATCCTCCTTTTTGGAAATAAAACAATACAATCTTTGACATTGAGGTTTACCAGTGGTTTAAACATTAAGTGAGTAACTCCAGTAAAGCACATGAAACACAGGAACCTAAGAGCTCAGAGTCTCACATGAAATACCAGGAGCTATTGTTATTATTTGTAACAGTCTTAGTCTGAATGTTACTGTAACGTCCAGTATGGTGACAACAGGAAACCTTCACTACACCCAGGGATCCTATCCACATGAGAAACACAACAGTTTTGTCCTGTCCCGAAGGAGCCACACAGAACTAATTCCTCATTCCTCCAGTTCAGCATTTGAAGGGAATTAACTCATTTTATTACAGTATAATTGGTGCAAATTACCTTATTTTGGCACTTGGTTCACATGTGTTTCTGCTGACTGAGCAGACAGTGAACATTCACAGCAAAACAGTTCAGATCTCCATCAATCTTGGACTTTTTTTTAGTATTTTAAGAAAATAAAATAAATCATATAATGGATCTCCATCAATCTTGGACTTTTTTTTTGTATTTTAATAAAATAAAATAAATCATATAATGCTAATCCATCTATCCATCCATCTTCATACAAAACTGCTGAAACCAGTGTGTTATCTATACTTGATCTTCAGGAATAAGATAAAATACTGGAAATTGTTGGACTTTTTCTAAGGTTCTACTGTTTTACCATGATTACCAATGTAGCCATCTTCTTTCTTCACACTGACAGTTTCTTATCTTTTGCAGTAGAGAGAGACAACATGGCCGACTTCTGTGTGCTGGGTCAGAGACCCCCTCCTCACCTTGCCGGCCTGGCCCAGCTCGGCCATTTAGGAACAGGAAGTTCTCATCTTAAAGCTGGATCAGGAGATCCACAGACTCCTTCTCAGCCACCCCAGCAGCCACCCCCTCCTCAGCAGCAACCCTCTCCTCACGGTCCCCTCCATCACAGCCCTCCTCTGAGAACAGGTCAAGTTCCTCCTCCTCCGCCTCCTCCACCTCCGCCAGGTGCCCTGCAGCCGCTGCTGGGTCCAGGTGGCCTTCTATCCCCGCAGCTCTCCCCGCAGTTGGTGCGTCAACAGCTCGCCATGGCCCACCTCATCAACCAGCAGTTAGCTGTTAGCAGACTGCTGGCTCACCAGCACCCACAGGCCCTCAACCAGCAGTTCCTCAACCACCCACCCATCCCTCGTGGTTCGTCCAAAGTCGGTGGTGTAGACCATCCTGGGAACAACCCTTCAGCTGCTGAAGTCTCCTCTGACATCTACCAGCAGGTCAGAGACGAGCTGAAGAGAGCCAGTGTCTCCCAGGCTGTGTTTGCCAGAGTGGCTTTCAACCGTACACAGGTACCAAACCTGGAAGCCATTAAAAGTGATGGCATACTGCTGGTATATTGCTAAAAAATTACAACAACAAAAAAAATCAGTATATTGCTAAAAAATTACAACAACAACAACAAAAAAAATCTATTTTATTCCACTTATCTTCATCTAGAACAATGTTTTCACTTATTAGTTTTTTAGTTAAACTTAAAAAATAAATTCAAAATAATGATAAGGTGCATGTCTTTCACATTCACCACTTCTGACTGCCTACAGGTAAATACCTAGTTTTGTCGTCTACTACTGTAGGTGTTACTGACGCAGCTAGCGCTAACGTAGCAGGATAGCTCCCTGGGTCATTGAGTCTCCTGCTTCTTCTCCTCCTCCTCATCCTCCTCCCTCCACAGCAGCACAATTACCCGACTCATTCATGCTGGGCTAAAGTTTTTACCCTACGCCCCATTAGATCAATGTAATGACAGGTGGCACGTAGTCTACGCTACACAGACCAGGTGTCTTTTAGACTGAGCTCATGTGTGCATTGGTGTGTCTTGATGTTTATTGAGAACATACATCATCGAAATCCTTAACTTTAATAAGAGCATGATGATGTCATAAATAATCATTTGAGCTGGATTTTCATGAAAATGGAAGAACGTGTGCTTGGCACTTTTTAAATGTAATATTTAGGGTCTCCCCCCTTTGGGGAAGTTCATTTTTTAATATCCTGCATCAAACTGGCTGATGGGCAATACATACATAAATGAAAAATGACAAAAATTGTACAAAAAAAAGAAGAAAAAAGATACATATTTTGCATAGGAGGACATTATTTAATCATTTTCCCCAACTATCTCTTATATCTTGTATATTTGGGATACAGTTTAGGAAGACCAAACTGAAAACAGGTTGTGGAAAAATACTAAAAATGACCAATCAATGTCTATCATCTAAAGTCTAACTTTAATCAAATTTGTCATATAAATTGGTGTACTTTTGTTTAAAAAATCTAGTTCGTGGTGCTGATGCGACCTCTCTTTGGTCAGGGTTTGCTGTCAGAGATCCTCAGAAAGGAGGAGGACCCTCGCACAGCCTCACAGTCACTGCTCGTCAACCTTAAAGCCATGCAGAATTTCCTCAACCTGCCCGAGAGCGAGCGTGACCGAATTTACCAGGAGGAGAGAGAGCGCACCATGAACCCAACGGTCGGGCTTCCTGCCTCCAACACCTCCAGCCCCGGAGCTGCACGCCTCTCACAGGTTAGTGTAGGACAGCAGGGTCACACATGGATAGTTCTGGGCCGAGTGGCTGAAAAAGGGGACTAGCTTTAAGTGAAATTAAGAAACACCACTGGAAACCACATGTTTACATTACAATATAATATTAATATTTCCAATTAGCATCTAGCTAACGGAGAAAAAAAGCTGCTTCTTCCCCATGGAAGGCCATTAGAGCTGAGCTTCAACAGGGTTTAATATGCTCGGCCAGGGAAGTGTGAGAAGAATGATTTGTTTTAAACAGCTAGTTCTGAATTAACTAGTTTAAGCACAATTTAGTTAATGTTAATGTAAATAGAACATCTAGGCTGTATTAGAGACTGTATTCAATAACGTTTTTAAGAAAGCAGGGTTTGTTTTGTTGGGTTACTGTTGATCTTTGTTTTTTTCTGCAACAAAGAAAATGTGAAATCCCTTGTTTGGATTTGCACAAGTCAAATGAGAAATAAGTTAATAATAGGTCTAGAACAAAAGATCCTTTTTAGTGGACTACAGAGTTTGCTATTTTAAGTTTCTACATCAGTGTTGGTCTATGATTTCCTAAGTAAAGTTGCTGCAGATGGTTTTTTCAAAGCCTGGTTTGGCCTGCAGCTGAAGTCTTAAAGAAGTTGTTGCAATAACTCAGATAAAAAGTCCGAAAGTGTTATTTTTGCAACTTAGTTGTTTGATATTCATCTTATCAGTGTACCTCAGTGACACACGGTGACCACATTATCTTCTTTTTAAACAAGATATAATATTAAATGTACTGTTATTGATAGCAATGATTGGGAAAAAACAAATCTTTTAAGCTGTTTTATTTGTGTAAGCTCAGGGGTCCCTAACCCCCGGGCCAGGGATCGGTACCGGTCCATAGGTCATTTGATACTGGGCCACAGTGGGACACAGAAAAAAAAAAAAAAAAGTTCAGTTTTACTAATTTACTTCATTTCAAAAAGAACATTACTAATTTACTTCATTCCAAAAAGAACTTATGCAGTCATAATACCTTTATTTTTTCATTCAAAGATAATCTGTCATGTTTCAAAACAACAGGTCATTCAGTTAATTATCATAACGTTAATGATCCTTCAACGATGGTGTGGTATTAGAGATCCGCAGTAACGCCTTTCTAACGCAATTCCCTTTTAGAGTTTGTCTTTTAATGGTAGAACCAGCACCACAGAATGGTCAAATATGTCACCTTGCCTCACTAGAATTCAAACACTGGATCCTAACACGTAGTGTGTCTTGCGTGTGTCTGCATAGAAAGTGTGGGAGAGGAGCTTGGATGACCAGATAACTCCTGATACCTGGGCCTCCATCTGGAAGAACAAGACTAAGATCTCCAACTCTGTGAGTTATCTGCCATCTGCGCAAAGTGCAGCCCCAACATCTACTTTGTCTATGTTTCTTTTTTTTCTCTTCTTCTTCTTCTTTTATCTTAAACAAATTCAGTTTGTAATAGTGGAAACCACTTCAAAGCAATCATAAGACCATATTGTAAACATAAGGCACATTATACAGTATTTGGAAATGTCTTTTCCATGTTCACGATACAGTTTAGCCGCGTCAGTGATAAGACGGTCCCTCTGATGTCAAGGCGAATGCCCATTTATGGCTCCGGGGGATGAATATTCTTATTATGTCTCGGGGAAATTATCTCAGCATCGTTTACACTGAGGGAATGCAAGCTGGCCAGTCTGTGCTTGTCCCGCCGCCGACTTCAAACACTGTGTATACAAGGACAAAGCATGTTCGCTCAAACACAGACAACAGGAGGGAGGAGGGGGGGGGGGCAAAAGAGGAGGACTTAATGACTTTGATCCGTAAACAAGGTTCATGTGGAGACGTGCGCCCAATCCGCAGATGATAATGAGCTGCCAATACTGTATACACTAGATGTGCTGCGCTGATATGACTTGGAGTGGCTTTAAGAGCTTTTGCAGCTTTTCTACCCATCCGTCAGCAGCTCTTTCAATATGGCTCTCATAGACTGTGCAGTATGCGAGACTAAGATGCTATCCGTTCAAAAGTCCGATTTTAATAACATGTCAAGACATGGCCCTCAGGTATTTAGAACAGCTTTGACGAATCTTTGTCAAGCGTCGAGCTGTGTTGAAATTTTATATGATTGTCAAGAATGGTTGATTTTTTTTTTTAAATCAGAGTGTAGATCACATATTTTTAACCAAATTTTTTAAGCTAATTTCTTTCTTTCGCAAATCTAAGGAACTTTATTTAAGTCCTTAGACAAAGCAGGTTGTGACGTGATGCCAGAGATCGTCTCGTATAATTCTACAAAGATGTAATCTATTGGTCACGCTGCTTACGAATGACTTAAAAGTTAATAGTGTCATGGACACGTAGCGGTTATTTACCGTACACAAATTTCAATTTTTAAAAATTGTCTTAAATTTTTTGACTTACCCTACTATATGTCATGCATTATTGACCACTATCCAGCATTAAGGCCAACTGTAACACATTTACTTCCATCTAATTTAAGGGTGTTTTTTTAGCCTGTGTTGCTAACATTATTCTGGCCTTGCTACATAACCAAAATTCAACTATTATGGAATGCTTTGTTTCGTGGTTTTAATTTTTCTCTTCCTTCCAGTAGAATTAATTCATCCACAAATTCTCTGTCCCTATAGCCCAAACCGTCTGGCCCCGCCCCTGACCACTCGCTGAAGCTGGAGTCACTGGTCAACATCACGTCAGGCATCTATGATGAAATCCAGCAGGAGATGAAGAGAGCCAAGGTTTCCCAGGCTCTGTTCGCTAAGGTGGCTGCTAACAAGAGCCAGGTAAGGGAGCGAAGACTAGCCTTTTTGTTTAATAGTTCCAAGTTCAGGAAAATGTTTTTTTTTTTTTTATTTGTAGATGTTGGTGGTTAAATCTCTGTTAGGTAACACGTTGAAGTTTGAAGGGTTTACATACAGCATGTTTGCGTGCAGCAGCATGCTGTGCCAGGTCCCCCAGGTTGGTGGATCTGGGGGCGGCTCAGGGTCACGGCTCAGTGCACCCATCTGCTGCAGCTGGCCACAAGGACGGAGAGAGGGAGAGATGATCAGGCTATTAGCGGCGATGCTGCCCGCGGAGGCTGGTTGAACACAACAGCTGGTGTCACAAACTGAAGCAGTCTAGCAGATATAATCAAATCTTCTTCATCTTCTCTCCCCAACAAACTCTCCATCCAGCCATGCTCAGCTCACCTTACGCTGTTCTCACCCTCAATCTACTCCAGATACAGCCTTTAAAGTGGGTTTGAGTCGTTAATGTAATAATCCTTTTTTTTTTTAGATTTATCTACACCTCATATTGGAGTTTACGATTTATTCGTCATTGATTGACATGACAAGATTTCTTAAGATTTTGCTATTTGGGACACTGAGTTGACTATCTTTGGTTTGTAGACAAAACAAGACATCTCAGATTGTGTGATTTATATTTATTTATTTATTTTTTTAAACATCTCTGCATTTGTACCATTCAGCCACAGTTTATCTTCGGAACTCCATGCAGGGTCACCTGGTATTCAAAAGGGGGCGCTGCAAAGTTCTAGTAATTGATAAGGAAAAAAATACTTAAAAATATTTTTATTATTTACTAATTATTAAGAGTGGAAGGAAAAAAATACTTAAAAATATTTTTCAAATAATTTCAACTAATTATTAAGAGTGAGTGCATAGTGTAGCGGTAAACACGCATGCATTGTGAGCAGAGAGTCCTGGGTTCGATTCCCAGAGGAACCACATATCCTTAATAGCGCCTCCTGTGGCAGCCTATGTCAATTGCGATGACACTGAATTTCAAAGTCAATGTATTTATCATTCTTTTTAAATGTCTCTGTAGTCGCTAGAAATGTGTGATATCGAAATGGGGTCACAAGCCAAAAAAAGGGAACCACTGCATTTAGCAAATGTAATGACCTTTGACCTATAACATAGACTTGTTAAGGTCATTCTTTAGGCTTCCGGGTTTGACAAACCACTTACGTACTTTTCACTTCTCTGGTCTAGGGCTGGCTGTGTGAGCTGCTGCGGTGGAAGGAGAACCCCAGCCCCGAGAACCGCACACTATGGGAGAATCTGTGCACCATCCGTAGGTTCCTCACACTGCCACAGGGTGACAGGGACATGGCTTATGAGGAGGAGTCAAGACACCATCACAGCGAGCGACTGCACACAGTTCTCCACCTGCCACAGGACTCACAGGTAAGAACCCCCCCCCCCTCCTCCACCTGGAAATGGACCTGAAATCAGTTGTGTCTGGAATTGAACCAGCAACCCTCACACATCAAACATGACACATCTCTATTTGGACTCTCTGTTTTTTTTTTCTGTTGGGTCTTTACAGCCGTGTTTGATCTGACTGTGTGTGCCTGGGTGTCTGTTTGTGCCCCAGTGGAGCGGGGAGTAAACACAGGGGCAGGGTGGTGCTGCTGGTGATTTTGAAGGGGGAGGAGGGTGTCGGGGTTGGAGTGTACTGAGGAAATGCCTCATTAGGAGTGTGAGGAGAGATGGTAGCTGACTGTCTCTTTTATACGACACGTTGGACTTGACTTTAGAAAATTCCGCAATTAAACATATGCTAGGAGTATAAAGAGACAAAGAAGTTTTATGTCAAACATACGGCTCGTGGGCCAAAACCGGTCCGCTAGTGGGTTCAATACGGCCCGCTTGATGAAAGTAAAAAGAAAATGCACACTTCATGTTGGTAATGTTCTGTCAAATATTTCTTTAAATACGAATTGACGCGGCTAAACTGTTATCCGTTACCGGGTCGCGGGGGCAGCAGTCGCCACAGCAGACCCCCCCCAAACCTTCCTGTAGGTGGTGAGTCCACTGGAAGGTACCAACCGCCCTAACCGGGATTCGAACTTGCGCAGGAGGTGAACCCTGGGGTTTCACACCAATGACAGAGACATTGCCTCTGGGCCAAAGCGCCACTCCGGACTCATAGTTATTTATAGGTAACTATGTTATGATTGTACTGGTCCGGCCCACTTGACATCTAATCAGGATGTCTGTGGCCTCTGAACCCAAAAGAGTTTGACGCCACTGCATTAGCATGTTTGCGCCGTCGTGATGATTACAAATGTTAATGAGCAACAGCGCCCCCTGTTAGTCATAACACACAAACAATACGAATTTTAGCCATTAACCACAGGTTAGTCTCTTTTCTGTCTGTGGAACAACAACCACCAGAACACACCATCAGTGACAGCGCCAACAAAACAACAGCATTGTGTTAGCGAAACGTATACGTGACGTGCGATTGAGTTTCTAAACTCAGCGGACGTGAGACCGGTCTCTCTAACCACCAACACAGAGCCGTAATGTATCACATACATTATATACCATCTGTCATAAATCAAAAACTTCCACACCAATCACAGAGCCTGCTCTGTGACCCCACCCCCTCCTCCTCCCTCCTCCTCCTCTCTGTATTAAAGAGGGTTCATGGGAAGTCAGGGAGGAAGCTGCGGTGGCACCATTAACACATTCCTCCGCTCCTCTTACACGCTGTCCGCAAAAAGACTAAAAATAAAGTTCCCCCCTTCAATAGGACCATGTTGTAAAACAAAACACTGCCTCCACCCGCCTAACCCGACCACGCCCACCTCCAGAGACACAGAGAGGGGATGAGCCGTGGCGAAACACTGGTGATTTATTAATGGGGAAATAAGCCCTGTGTGTGTTGGTGAGCGCGCGTGTGTGTGTGTGGGAGGGAGGGAGGGAGGGAGAGAAAACCCCCTTCTCCCTCCCATAGATGAAACCTCTACTAACCTCAGGCTCCAGCCGTCCTGCCACCACAGACCACACATGTGTCCCATCTGCAACACACACAGAGAGAGAGATTGTGAGATAGCTGAATGGATCAACGGAGCTTCTATTAAAATGAGTCAGAACAAGAAAATATAAATCCAGTAATATTTGAGTGATTCATCTGAATCCATATGCCAACTTTCCCACCACTATTATATACGTATTATACGTTTCTTGAAATTTAGCTTGTAAATAAAAAAGCAAAACTGACTTTAAAACAAAGTAACTATAGCAACACAAATGAGGCAAAAAGTTCTGAAACTGAAACAAACGCTACACAAATCTCCATGAACACAGAGTGAACGAGGGTGGGTGTGAGTGTGTATTCATACATGTACATGAGGTGGACTAGCGTGAGATACCTTTGAATCCTTAAAGATCCAGGAGGTTTCTGGCTGTGTTATTGAATCTGCAGGTACTGAGTTTGTGTGTGTGTTGTGTTCATGTCACCGCCATCGTCTTCGCTCAGCCTCCCACAGCTAATTTGGCAGAATACGCTCTTATGAATTATTTCTGTATTGTTTTTGCTAAATTGATTTCTGCTAGGTGTGTGCACGTCAGTGTGCGCGTGTGGGTGCAGGGGGGGGGTTTCAGGAGGGGAGGGTGACTGTACATATATGTATATATGTACATATATGTATATGTGTACATATATGTACATATATACATATATGTGTATATATATATGTACATATATGTATACATATATGTATATATATATATATATGTACATATATGTATATATGTACATATATGTATATGTGTACATATATGTACATATATACATATATGTACATATATAATACAGATTTTTCTAAACTCTTGGTGCTGATTCGATTCTGACAGACTATACCCCATGATCGCATGCTTGGCAATTTACATATAGTGTCATTGCATATGTACAGTATTGGATTTCTTTACATAAATGGCATGTCATGGTCATTTAACTTGTTATCTAACTTAAATAAAATTACTTTAAAAAAAAAAAGACAGAAATACTGTAATTACTGGACTATTGAGCGCACCTGAATATAAGCCACGCCGACTTAGTTAAAAGTTAAAAAGAAAAAAAAAATTGTACATATATAGGCCACACTTCTCTATAAGCCACACATGTTCACGTTGTAACATTCCCATGTTACAACGTGAAAAAAAAAAACATTTGTGTAAATATCCCTATTTACACAAAAAGATGTTTTTTTTCCTTTTAATTAAATAAATGCGTTTTTCCAAACAGTGCCTGTAACACGGCTAGTTACACGTTAGCTCTTTCCAGCTTCAGAACCCCGACCGTAGTTGAAATACACAGGGTATACTTAGTGATCTGCTCCAGGGCTGAAGCTAACATTAGCTCTGGGGCTAACTCCCTTCAGTACAACAGAACATAAACAGTGTGTTAACAGCTCCTGTATAACCAACTGATGCTTCAACATGACAGGGCTCAAACTGCTCTCAACTGTCTACCGTTCTCTCTTGTGCGCGCGCACACAGCCAATCACAGACAGACACCCACTACCAGTATAACACACAGTAGCCTACCAGAAAAGTCACTGATCGCTAATATTAACTTCGTTACCCTGTAAAAATCCATAAATTAGCTGCATTATTGTTTAAGCGCAGGGTTCAAAGAGTGTGAAAAAAGTAGCGTCTTATAGACTGTAAATTACAGTAGTGTCCTTTGTTCAAGTTAATCTGAATCATTTCTTTTCAAATAATAATCGTGGAAGAAGGAAAAGCAAGAGTTGGTATTTACAGTATACCTAGAGTACAAATGGAAATATATCTCACCAGGCAACAACAAAATTCCGTCAGACAATTTTTGACAAGCAGTTGAGTCTGAAATGTAAATATGAATTGAAATTTAAATGATAATATCATCAATAAAGAACAAGATTTCACTGTAGATAGAGTGGAGCTTTTCTTGCTCTTTGACAGTCAGAACTGCTTGTTGTTTTATTGCCAATTTATTTTCACAAATTGGAGCTGGAGTTTTCTAGGCTCGATGACGATACTGAAGGTTAAGCCTGACGTTACTAAGTTAATAAAGCACATCTTAATTTACACAAAAACAAACAAAAACAAAATTAAAATTCACAACAAAGAAAATTACACACAAAAAAAGATCGCTGTCAAAAACCCAAAAGATAAAAGTCGCCTGAATTAAGCTATAAGTCACAGAATAGTTTTAATGGAATCTGTGACTAATCTGGTGACAAACTCGGAACATTTGGAAATAATTGTAATATTTAACATCACATTTGTTCACTGGCAGAAACTTGAGCAATGATGACGTTTGATTTATCGACACCATAACACATTCTGAACTGTACCTTTAAAGCAGCTGGGAGCAGATGTTTTGGGGTCACAAAAACGTTTTCTGTGTTTTGCTCTTTGCCCTGAAATTAATTTCTTTTTATCATCAAGGGTGAAGTGATGTAAGAGCTGAGACGGACGGGTTTGTGAGGTTTTTATCACTGTGACCTTGTCTTCTCTGTCACTGGGTGGAGTTTGTCGGAAAAACCACACTTCACTTAATGGTTTAATTACAGATAAATGGAATGAATACCACACACACAGTTAGCGTGAGGAAGAAAACTGCAACGCACACAGAAATAGTGCACGCACGGGGGGGAGGGAGGGCTCCGTAACGTCAGGCTGGAGACGTTTTCACAAAAGTCAAAAAAAAAAAGTAAATAAAAAGAAGGTGAGTCAGAAGATCGCAATCGAACGAGCTGAGAGAATAAAAGAACAAGGGAAAAATAAGGGCGGAAGACGGATGTGGAAAGACCGACATTGAGATATTATTTATTATTATATTGAGTGAGTGAAAATAAAGGAAAAACAGAGTGTGGAAACAGAGAGTAAAAGGTCAGCGTGAAGAATTATTTCAATGTTTAAAAAAGGAAAACGCCGTCGTGCAGAAAACTAAAGGAATTTGTCATTTAAAAAAACATTAATTACATATTTCGTTGCTGAGGTAATGTTAGGAATACCGCACACACACACACACACACAGCTCATTAGGAAGAAGAGGAATATTTCACATGATTTATGTACAAAAAGAAAACTTTTACTGTGACGCACAGACCTTCCAGGAGAAGGGGAGTGTGGGTAATACGGGGTAATAGGTTTTTTCAGGGTTATTAAATCATGCCATTAGAATTGTGGCGTGGTCTCTCAAAAACCTAAAGTTATTGCGCCTTTATTTTCAAGAGAGAGAGAGAGAGAGAGAGGCTGTTCTGTAGTCACGCCCAGTCACTTCCAATGAAGTGTGACGGTCAAAAACGGGGGCGAGTCCCGGGCGACTTAAGAACACCTTGGTAACGACCGCAGTTGTAGCCAAGTCGATGGTGAATGCAGTTGAAATAACCATTACAGTCAAGAGTGTGACTCACAGATAGCTCTCTATTCCTCGTAGGCCCATTGATGACGAGCCAGTGATGAGTCATCTTCGATTGTGTTCATATTCGCAAACAGATTCATGCGCAAAAAGGTTTTATGTTACGGTTATGCTAAGTACCTGAGTCAAAATGCTAAGTACTTGAGTCAAAATCTACTTAAGTAAAAGTAAAATGACCTATTCCCGAAAACTACGAAAAATATTACAAATTACTCAAAAACTACTCAGTGACAGTAACGTGAGTAAATGTAATTCCTTTCTGTCCACCTCTAGTCAACCTTACACCTTCATATATTTGTCATGTGAAAGCAAACATTGACCGACTGTAGATTCAGTGGCGTTTTTACTGTGGGACTCAAACCCATAAACCAGACAAACTGTCTGGCAGGGCAGAAACATACTTCACAAAATATATATATAAAGTCAAAAGGACAGAAAACGGGAGGAAGTAAAGGTGGATGTGTTAGGGAGGCGCAGCAGGGGAAGGAACGAGGAGCAGGGAGCAATGTGAGGCGAGGAGGGGCTGCTGGCTTCAAGCAGTCTGACGCAAATTTGGATGTGGAGCCATGTTGGCTTGGCAGAAGTTCACTTCATTAGTGTCCTGATGCATTAGACCTGAGGAAGAGGAGGAGGAAGGAGAGAGAGAGAAGAGGGGAAAGGCAATAAAATGGGGAGCAAAGTGAAAGTAAAAAAAAAAAAAAAAATGAAGTCACAGAGACGAGGAGGTGATAAAGAATTTAGTGCCTTTTGAGTGGAACCTTCGTTCAGGAGTGTGTTTCACCATTGGTCAAACTATTAGGAGACACAACTCATTGGTGGAAAATTGTTTTCTTTCACATCCATGATAAGTGATTTATTGACACTGAAACGTGACCTCTGCCCTAAGGTCGTCACCTTAGTGAGCAGGGGGCAGTTCAAGCCATGCATTGGTTTAACTGCATTGGCCAATTTGTCACATTTTACTAATGATGCCTGTCTTTTATTTCTTAAAAAAAAAAAAATTTTTAGCGAAATGTAATACATATTTCTTTTATTTTAATTACAGATGTTTCCAAAGTGGGCGGGCGTGGCCCCTGGGTGGGCCACAGTGTTATTGCAGTGGGGACGCAGATGGAATGAATGAATGAAATGTAACGCAGCATATTGTCCAATGCTGTAAATCTTTAACAAGAGACTGGGGGGGGGGAGGGGAACTGATTGGTTGAAGGAGGTGTGAAGTGAATATCTGATCATATTTTGAATTATCGCTCAAAACCCAAACTAATCGCCTTCTTTACGTTACGTCTCCCTTCAATATCTGTCGAGTTTAGATATCATAGCTTCGTTTGTTTCATAAAAACAGATTTCGTTTCAGTTCCCGGACAGTTTACTGTCCGCCGCTGACTGCTGTCGTAAACATCGTCAGATGTCACTAAAGTTGTGTTTTTCGGGGGGGGGGGGCAGGCAAAGACCCGCTTAAAGGGTTTCACCCCG